GCATAAGAAATCAATGGTATTTAAGTATGAAGCCACGTATATGTCTCTGGTGGTGTATCCTCTGCTAGAATACCTATGATCTCATCAGGGCATCCATATATGTCTCAGCCTTGAAGGGTACTGGCAACCCCAGCATTTGGCCTGGAACTCTCAATAAAGGATCTCTCATTTCCAAAGACAATCGTTCCAGCAGAGAACAGTGGTTAAGTCACATTGCTAGTGTTTGACTCCTGGATTCCTCACTTGCTAGCTAAAATTATACACATTATTTACCATCCCTAAATTTCACACAATGTGGATAATAATAGTAATAATACAGCCACCTCATAAATTGTCATGAAGTGCAAATAAGATCATCCATAGGAGAGTACCTAGTACAGTGCCTGGCATGTGGCGGGAGTTTAATAACTGCAGGTCTCATTGTCATCATCAGTATCACTGTCATCATTATCACCATCATCATTATCTCACCTGGCAAGCCTGATATTGTTCTTATTCTTTAATTAATAGTTAATTAAACACTATTTTATTCCTATTCTTTTTTGTGAGTCAAGGACATGATTCACCCTTGAACTTCCAAAAAGAGGATACCAGATCTAGAATCCTGTGAAATTTCATCCAATTTAAATCCTTGGCTTCAAGTAATTAGAAAAAAGTCTCTCCCCAACTTGAAGACTGTTAACGTGCAGTACAAGCATAATCACCACCTTGTTTAAACAATATTGTGGAAGATCCAAGGCAACATGGGCATTAAGAGAGGTCGAATGGAGCAAATCTAGGAGCTATTTCTGGTGAAAGCACAGAAAGAGGAGGAAGCGGGGAGGGAGTCTTCATCTGTCCAAAGCAGAAATTACTATAAACTGGGGAACTACAGGTGACAAGTTTCATACATCAAACTTGTTTTGAGAACCTTCCATGTAAAAGGCACTGAGGTGGAAGAGAGGGTAATTAAAAAATAAATACAAGAACCCCCCAGAAAGGGATCATCTGCTTGGGGAGATAAAACATGTTAACGGCTATAGCATGAGACAGATGCAGATAGATGTCATGAAAACAATACAAGGGAAATTATGTGAGGATACAAGAAAGGACGGATCACTTACGCCCAGATTGCAAAGAGCAGCTCACACTATATGCTGTCCTTCAATGATACATCTGAAAGTCCCCACCTCCTCAATGGTGGTAGGAAATCCTATGGTACCTTCTACTACCTTTATTATGATTGTGAGAAGACATCCATTCTCCCTACTCACTGGTGACAGGCAGAATAAGAGCACAGACTCAGGAGCTGAACTGTCTGTGTTCAAATTGCGTATTAATTGCGGGACCTTGGTCAGTTCACTTAACCATGCTCTGCCTTAGTTTCCGCTTATTTAAAATGTGGATAAAAACAGCAGCTATCTACCAGGCTGCTGTGAGCATGAAAGGAACTAATATAAGTGCTTACACCAGTGGGTAGCACATAGTCAAAGCTACGTACTACCTAATGCTACACTGCTGGCTTTTATCACTGCCATCACAGGGGCATGCACATATGAGGCATTCAGAAGGATGTGAATATGTGCTGAATGACTATAAACGAAAACACAAAAAGAAAATGTTGCAACTGAGAAGAGAAGATGGAGCTAGGTTTTGTAAGTCTGAAGAGCTAACTTTGAAAACACTCTGCTTGAGAAGCATTTCCTTTCATGTAGATGAGGACTTGGATATCCTGTTCCATGTCAATTCTAAAAACCAGTAGTCACTGTGGGAAAATAACTTTGTAGTATTTAATAGTTTTTTATATTAAGTGGGGGAAAAGTTTACTCTCTTTAAGTGTTCTGGAAGCAAAGCAATTCATTAAAAAGGGGGACTAGAGTGTATTATGCTAAGCAAAATACGTCAGTCAGAGAAAGAAAAATACCATATGATTTCACTCACACGTGGAATTTAAGAAACAGACCAAATGAACATAGGGGAAGGAAAGGAAAAATAGAATAAGATAAAAACAGAGAGGGAGGCAAACCACGAGAGACTCTTAATGATAGAATAAACTGAGGGTTGCTGGAGGGGAGGTGGGTAGGGGGATGGGCTAAATGGGTGGTGGACATTAAGGAGGGGGCACTTGTAGGGATGAGCACTGGGTGTTATATGTAAGTGATGAATCACTAAATTCTATTCATGAAACCAATACTACACTATATGCAGTGTAGCATTTAATAAAATCTTGGGAGAAAAAAAAGGGGGGTGAGCCAAAATTTCAGGGCTAGAAAAAGACCTATTAACTGCCTTGGAGGATAAGAGCTATGATATCTAAAATGCAGCCAAATGCAGTGCAGCCCTCTGCAGACCTAGCACAAACATCTTCCAAATGTTCCTTCAAATTATTTCAGACAACTGGAAGCCAGTCATTTGTAAAGGAAGGTGGGAGGAATCACAGGGAGATATACCTGCTTCAGTTAAGGTGTCCAACTTAACTAAAAATTAAAAGTCCTACTGCACAAAGCAGAGATTAGGCTAATGTGATAAGCTTTCAGGCCTGTTTGATAATCCATTTTGTCCACAAGGCAATATAGAAGGGGTCTTTCTATATTTTTCATGCCAAGCAGCGTTCAAATGCAAAGCCACCAGTAGACTGCAAGATCAACTATCTACCAGCCCACACTCAAGGTTCTTTACAATTCCTACAACTTTAGGTTGAAATTCCCAAATAAGTCCAAAACCTTCAGGGAATAAAATACATAGTTGCATTACCCACATAGCTGAGATAATGTTTACCTATGTTTAACTATGGAAACTTTTATAAAGACTATGAGACAGAACTTGTTCTTAAGAATACATCGTAACTCTTCTTAAATAGTGTCCTCAATGTAATTTAAAACTTTTCTCAAGGTCCAGGGATTATTAATAAGCAGCTGTCTCCTGAAGTGTGTCTGGCAAGTTATGACTGGCAGGAAAGGAGGGCCCCACTATGTATACAAAAGTTCCTGATCTCCTTTAGTGAAGGATACAAAAATGACTTAGTAAGTTAAGTCTCTAGACAGAGCAGAAATATATGGCAGCATTATCTCAACTTGGGCTTTCCCTGGACCCATGGCTCTCTAATGAGTGTAACTCCTCATGACACAGGGGACATCTTGTCTGAGCTGAGAACAGATCTGAATTCCTGATATGGTACTTCTCTTTTATACCCAGGTATAATACCATCAGTATTTTCCTAAGTCTTTACTTGGACAACCTATGCTCTTCCATTCAGTAGAATGTTTACCAACATTGGGCTCTCAGGCTGCTGAACCAAACTTAGCACCAGCAATGTGCCATCTTCTCTGGGAGGAGAGAGTACAGGAAATGCCAGGTGGCCCTGCTTCCAGCTTCCTAGTGTCCTGGAAAGGCTTCCCTGCCAGGGACATAATCACAAATCCATTCTCTTTCATCTATTCTAAATTTCATGCTTGAGACTTCTAATCTTCTCTTGGCTGGGAATGATAGGTTTATTTTTAAAATTTCTAGAAATCAAGTCAATAGTTTCAATGAGAGTCTGAGGGCTCCTCCCATGCATTAAAATACATGCCTTTTGTAACATCTATTTGGACTGGTTATAGGTTCTCAGATAAGCTAGCTGGAAGCTGAGTTCAAGTGAATAAGATGCTACTGTGTTATTATTGCTAGGGTACCTTGAGGGAGGATGGCATTTATTGAGTACCTTAAACATTTCATTTGCTTTGAATGCTCTTTTCCTTATATGGTTTACTCCTCGCTTCATTTGGGTCTCTGTTCACATATAGCCTTACCTGTGAGGCATTCCCTGGCCACCCTGTATAAAATAATTCCCCACTCCTGTCTTTCTCTAGACTCCATCCCCCTGATTTTTTTTTTAATCACAGCATTAATCGATACTTGGCATGCTATTTGTTTATTTCTGTCTCTTTCCATGAGAACGGCAGTCCTATGAAATAGCTGGCTTACCTGTTTTGCATTGGTGCTCTATAAATATTTGCTGAATGAATGAGAGAAGCAAGGTTAAATACTTTAAATAGCATGTCATTTTAATCCTCTCCATCCTTCAAGTCATGTATTTCAAGTCTTTTTACATACAGGGAAACTGAGGCTAGTTACTCAATACATGGAGAGCATATGCAGTTAAGAGCATGAACCCTTGCACCAGACTGCCTGGGTTAGAGCACAGTTTGGTCACTTGCCCTCTCTGACATTGGGCAAGTCACCAAACCATTCTGGACCTGTGGCTTCTAATCTGTAAGTGGCAATAATAGTAACCATTGCCTTCTGAAATTGTTGTGAGGAGCTTAAATATATCTTAAATAGCTCATGGCTCACAGCAGGTACTAAACCAGAGTTAAATAAATACAATCTTAACTGAGAAACACCTTATAAAAATTACTAACGTTCTCATTCTGCTTCTTACTCATAACAACTTCCTGATCATAACCCAGGTTTCTGGTTCATCTATCTATAAAGAGAGTGCAGATGTGGTTACTCTGGCCTGTGTGACACAATTACGCATTTCTCATCATAAATGAATTACTCCGTGAGTGCTGTTTCATATAACAAAATCAGGGTTCTGAACCAACATCACTGAGGTCACAAGACACACCTTGTATAGTTATTTACTGACCTCCTAGCCACCTTCCACAAACAACACCCCAACTTTTAAATAAACCATCCATCACACAAGCTGTACAACTGAGAAAGAAGTGTCACTGCCTAGGAAATCTTTTCTCTGATCAGCAGAAAATGGTGACTACAGGTAGAAGAATATCCAGGCAAAAGGGAGTATTTTGCCAAACAAATGTCCCCACACCTGTCTGCCCCACACACTGTTTCAGAACAGCATATCGCTGCTTGTAGTAACAACCTGTAGTCCAGGTTTCACTGGAACCTGGACGGGGAAGGTTTCACCTCTCAAAGGCTCTCAGCCCTCCCTCAATGGCAGAGGCACTGCCAAAGCCACAAGCAGCCCGCGGTCACTCGGCAGCTTCCACGCGGCAACTCCCCCATGTTACCTTGCCCTGATGATCGTGTTTCATTTCCCAGCCCCTTGGCAGCTCCAGCTGTTTGTTGGCGAACATATTGAGGAATCCCACAAGATCTCGGTTATGCTGGTAGCGTTCAAAGTGGTGGGTGTCCCGCCGGACTTTGGTGATCATGTGCTTCAAACACGTATTGTTTGTAAACATGCGGTAGGCACTCTGGAGGAAAGAATGGAGAGCCCACGTTAACCGGCCTGGGACCCGCAAAAGGAACACACATGGTACTCGAGGGCACATTTAGTCTTCCAGTGGGCATATCAGCTTCAACGTAACTCTGGACCCGCACATGGAAACAACAGGCTGAGAAAAATATTTTGATGAAAATAAAATAGGAAGACTACAGAAAGTAAGGTATCTTCACTGATGAGGTCTCATTTTCTAAAGAACAAGAATGCTGTGGAGTCTCATTCTACAGGGGATGTTAGATCCTAAAGTTGGTCTTAGAAAAAAAGCACACAAAGTCACATCATGTCAGACACAAATATACCACCTCACAGGGACCCCCAACATAGCCAGTTTTTTGCTCTAGCACTGGAAGAGATGACTGGTCTTTGGGTGAGCGCCAGATGAAGCAGTTGGCATGCACTTAGCAGCCAAGTTGTATGGAAAAATGCTTGGCCACATATTTGAATATTAGGAGTCCATGCAAAGGGCTGAGTTGCAGTCACTGAGACTCAAATCCAACTGAGACCACAATAGATCAAAGTTTTTCATCTTACACCTTCTTTGAGGCAAAATCACAGAGAACAGAATGACAGGCTGAACTGCCTGGGCTGTATACATATTTTTTTTTTCGTTCTCTATTTTTTCTGTGTGTGTGTGTGAGTGTGTGTGTGTGTGTGTGTGTGTATACACATATATACATATATGGCTGAATTTATACAGTTGAAATACATGTTTAATAAACTCCACCACACAAAAAAAGTGATTGTCTTGTGAAAAATGCTGTATTCTTCATCTCTATGATACTTAAACAAGATTCCAAAAATTGACCATAAACCATGGCTATCAACATATAAGTCGACAAAGATTCATCACATAATATCATGTGCCAAGAAGTAGAAAAGGAGTAACTGTATGGAGCTATTTCCTTGAATTATCAGACAGAAGATGATATTCATGAAATTACAAGGTGGTGAATGACCTACTCTGAAATTCTTTTCTTCTCAGATAGATTCAAAGGATTCTTCTTACCTTTAGTTTCCCAGGCCACTAGATTGAGTCTGGAGGCCTTCAGGCTTTACTTTATACGTTCTGTTATTTATTTCATACACTAAGGTAGACCAAAACAAACCCCAAAGAAACCAGAATCTCTGGAAATAATTTCATTTTAATAAACATTTACTATCTTTGCTATGCCCAGTACTGTGATAGTTATTGAAGATAAAAGATGAATGACAATGAGGTCAGTTAATATTGTTCTTGTCTGTCCAGGATCCCTCAAGATGTGTCATGTTCTTGTCAAAGCATTTTTGAGGATGTGCATCCTTCTAGAGCTTTCTTATGTTTGGTACTTATCATAGAAGCTACTGATGTTTGAAATGGAGGTTGCTCCCCAGCCCGGGTCCCTCAATCCCTAAATGACTACAGGGATCACAGAACCTTGATGACCCTACTGGGAATGACAAACAAACCTTTGTCCCCTTAAGCCACTGAGATTTGTTGGTTGCTATTATTGACATATAGCTTAAACTACATAAAATAACTTTTATATAGTTTTTCTGATTGACTCACCATCATGATATACTTTTTACTAAAATATTTTTTTTCCTATCAAAACAAATGGAAGAAAGGAAGGAAGAGAGGGAGAGAAGAGAGGGAGGGAAGGAAGGAGGCAGGGAGGGAGGGAGGGAGGGAGGGAGGAAGGAAGGAAGGAAGGAAGAAGGAAGAAGGAAGGAAGGAAGGAAGGAAGGAAGGAAGGAAGGAAGGCAGGGACAGAGGGAGACGGACCACACTGAACCATCCTCAAATATTAGTGCACTAACTCCTGGGTACACCTGAGTAAAATACTTTGAGGTTGTATTTCAACCTGGTAATCTAAATGAGAGGAGGCTTTGATGGCTGTGAGAAATTGTGAGGCTCAGAGCACAGAACACTGCCAACGCAGGCAAGTCTACACAGAGGCTCTGGGCAATTAGAGAGCATGAGAGAATAAGAAAGTGATACCATGAAAGCGGAGAAGGAGACTAATAAAAGAAGTTGGAGGTTGTCAGAGACAAACACTAGCTAACTAATAGTTTAGCCCGTGGCTGACCCTGTCTTGGTGTTTTATGCACAATCAGCAAGGCATCTGTTTTCTGCATTTGGCTTCTTGCCGCAGATGTATTTTCACGGAAGCCAATGCAAGCTTAGAGGCCTGAGACCATACTAGCTTGAGTGGTGGTCGGCAATGAGCTTTCAAGTCATACATCCTAATCAGTCTCTTTGGGGACAAATTATTGTGGGATAATTCTGCCAGATAAATCGTTACATTACCTGTTGTTCTAAATAGGTATATCTCTTGGCCCCCCTCATTTCTTCCTCCCCTCTCTAATGCAAGTAAATAGGCCACATCCTGACTCTATCTAGAGCACCAGACCTGCTCCTCATTCTGCTGAAGAAAAGGAGAACTTCATTAGGGCAAGAAATAGTGATTAGGTGAAAGAACCTCCTTCCCAAGCTGGAAGTAATTCCGGGGGCTACACAGCTCTTTCAGTTCAGGAGTCTTATGGCTGATCGTATAATTAATTATGTGTTTTCATTTTCCTCCTCTCCTCTCAGTAAGACATACAATATAGGGCCAAGTTCAAGTGATCTGCTAAAAAAGCATCTATCAAAGTAAAATAAGTGCAAGAAAGATTTATTGGAAACTAGCAAACAATCTTTGGAACCATAGCTTTTTCAAGTCTGAATAACATGCACAAGACTGTAAGTGTCTATATAAAACCCTTAAGGCAAATAGGAACATCCCTCCATACTGCTACATTTTTATAAAGAAACTATACACACACACACACACACACACACATATACATGTGTAAATTTATTTATATATGTATTTATGTATATACACATGTGACATATATTTATACACATGTTATGTGTGTTTATATGTTTATATACATGTTTATTATATTTTTAATACATATTTCATTTTTAACATATACACTATTTTTTAATATATAGTTATACATATATAAGTAAATATATTTCAGAAAGAATAATTATACTCCATTTTATACAGAATTACACTGAAGATTCTAGTCACAGCCCTGTCACTCATGGACAGAGACAAAGAAAATCATTTAATTTCTGCCTCAGAGATTACATCTTTGCTCAACTGTAAAATGATTAATAATAACTTCCTTGCTTTCTTCACAGGCATGTGAGATTCAAATCCAATGAAACAAAGGATGTAAAACTGCTTTGAAGAGGTAAAAAATCACTATAAAAATACAGAGTAGAAGTAACTAAAGGAATATATAAGGGATTATACCTATCATACGTATGTTATAACAGATGAATGATAGCAGTAAAATTGTTTTCTACTTTTGAGGTCTTTGAAGATCCTGGGCCAGCATCCCATTTTCTATTAACTAAAGAAGGTTTTCATAACCTTTCATTAATTATGTCATAAGCCCGGTGTTAAACCCCAAGGATACACACATGGGGATGAGCACAGCCCCATGATTCAAAAGGATGGTAAGGAACATTATAGGGAAAGGTGGGAGGAAGAGGTTCCCTGGAGGCAGAAAGGAGAGTTTGGAAATCGAAGGCCACAGTAGCAGTGAAAATACTGAAACACAGATAAAACTAGCAGAGCTAAGTATAAGAGGGGTCCCAAGACTTGAGAAACACTAAACAGGTGGGATTAGATTAAAAGAGTTTAGTCTTCCTGGAAGTGGACACAAGAAAGCTGTGGGTTAAGAGAAAAGAGGCATTTCATTCTCCCTCTGTGGTTCGGTGTTTCTTTTTTAATTTTTTTTTTTCAACGTTTATTTATTTTTGGGACAGAGAGAGACAGAGCATGAACGGGGGAGGGGCAGAGAGAGAGGGAGACACAGAATCGGAAACAGGCTCCAGGCTCTGAGCCATCAGCCCAGAGCCTGATGCGGGGCTCAAACTCAAGGACCGCGAGATCGTGACCTGGCTGAAGTCGGACGCTTAACCGACTGCGCCACCCAGGCGCCCCATGTGGTTCGGTGTTTCTGACTGAGTGAGGATCTTTCCGGTGTTTGGGTTGTTGTTTTGTTTTGGTCTTATAGAAAAAGATGGTAATGTATAGAATGCAAAGAACGATCTCGTCTGGGAAGCTGCTGCATGTGGAGTCACGAGTAGCAAGGCGAGCTGGCAACTGCTAATTGTAGATGAAGCCCCTTTACATGATCTCTAAAGGATGCACTGTTTTCTTTTCCTTTCATGTGACTTAAAAGGTCCTCTTCAATTATTGCTTCTCTATTCCAAAATTCCTTTCTTAACCTTATTCTTGGTTGCTTCTTGTTTCCCGTACAAGAAATGAACATCCAATGGCTGCGTGAATGATGAACTGAACTTATTTAGTGGAATTTTGTTAAAATAACATTCCTCAGAGCTTAATGTGTTTTGTTTAGTTAAGTGTGTTAAGGTATTAGAAGTGAAAAATATTGAGAGGGGTTGAGGGGAATGTTATTCCCATTTGGTGACAGAATAAGAACATTATATATAAATATTCATTTCTTATCAACCAACCACAATGCAAATAATAGTCAATCCTTTTTTTCTTTTTCTGGCAGGTTTCTTTCTTTCTTTAGTGTTATGGTGAACATATGTCTGGGATTACCTGGCCCAGTCTTGATTTCATCTAATTTGGTTCTTTTCAATAACACAGGCAAGTACATTAACTCTAAATAAAATCTATCTTTCATATTTTGTAAATCCTTCATCAAGAATAGGTACTCTGAATCCACACTTGGAAAATATCATCACTGCATCTATAGCAAATGTCTCTCATATTCACAAGGGAACAGATGTGAGCATTCGTATACCTTATTCACTAAACGAGCTTTACTATGAATAAAATCAAGTAACATTGTTTCCATAAGATGTATGCTGGGATATGGAAATAGTTCTCATACATAGTCTGTCTTCACTTTAATCATAAGGGATCTTATATTGTTTTCATCTAGCTAAAGAGTAAAATG